GTGGCAAAGCAGGTGCTACGGATCTTGCTTCTTGGGAATATGGGAGCTATGGGAATGGGCTCACAGGGAAAGGGTGCTGCTAGCACTTTCTGCTCAAAGTCTGTTAGGACAAGACTGAGCTGAGAACTAAAATATAGCCAAAACTCTGTGTGTGCGCACGCATGTATGCACCTAAAAATGTGTATTGATGTTTGCAATACTTGTTGGTACCTCTATTTAGCTGAAAGCTAAACCAATTATGCTTAATGCAACAAAATAACAAAATAATAGTTGTTTGTGTTCCTTTGAATTTTATCCAGATTTGCTCTGTAATTTACTGTGATAATCTAAATTAGTCTATTAAATCAGCCACATATTAAAATGTTAACTTATCATAATGTAGAAATAGAGTCTAAATAATTCATAGCTCCTGTTTAGGCCATGCTATCCAGTTGCTGTAACAGTTTTAGAAGAATTTTGCTCTCATGCCAGTCAACTGGAGTAACACTATCAAAACGGCAAATTTACCTCTGAGCAACAATCCTAGTTAAAAAAAATCAGTTATGCTCATAATACAGATATAAAATGTTATTCCAGTTGGAAAACGCTCCAGGTGTCAATGCTTATACTACAGACACAGATCCTATGTAATATAGACACAAACTGTGTCTGCACAGCTATGACTAACAGAGTCTTGAAATGTTTTGTGCATCAAGAAGAGAAAATATTGGATGAAATTTGCAAGCCAAAAATATTCAATTCAATTGATCTTGTGATTTCAAAACACACTGCTTTGTTGTATCATAACACAAGAGACCTTATTGATTTCTCTAGAAATTTACTTACAACTTCATTTTAAGCAATCTAATATGTTTATGGATCAAAAGAACCCTCCATTCACTTTTTCAGGCCAAAAATCTCATAGCACAACAGGCTGCATATCACTGTGTCTTACTTACGTTTACAGAATACACGATTATATGATAATATTTGTGGCATCATTGACAGTTTCTTACAATTCCCCCTTACTGTTATCCTTATAGTTGACTGTAGTGATTTGGTGCTATCCAGTAATTGCTAAGCAAAGAGTAATCCTAAACTGACTTTTCATATGGTTGGAGTCAGTAGCTCTCAGTTCACAAATCTCACATTTGAGAGGCTTGTTCCCACTAGAAAGCTCTTTCAGTAATAAACCTGAATGATTTTTCACAGTACTTTTTAAAACAACTCATCGAAAGAACTAGAAAAAGGTGCATGATAACAGCAGGAAGAAGTTGCACATTAATTCACAATGTCTTCCACTTTGGTAGCTTAAGACTATATTTTCCTAGCTTAACTTTTTAAGCATGCTTAATTAACTCATTTTGCAAATAACATTCTAGTGTTTCTTCAATTACACAGTCATTTACTGAGATTTAAATTCAATATTCCTTAGAAAATACTGTATGGAATTTATCACCTTGAAACCTGGACAATTCTAAGTATAAGCAGAATAATAAATATAACAACTTTTAACTTAATTCTGACTACTCAGCAAAAGCTAAAAAAAAAAAAAAAATCAGGCTAAGAGATTTGCATTGCTTTTTTTAAAAAGATGGAAACAAAATCTTATAAAAGTGAGATAGAACTTTAAGTTATGGATGAAACCTTCAGAAAAAAAATCTCTTTATAATCCCTAAAATATTGTTAATGTCAGAATCACCTTTAGTCAGTACAAGACATCAGAAAATCAAAAAAATAAAGAGATTTCAAACTGAAGAGAAAGATCTGCAGGTTGTTTTGAAGGATTCTGTATCTGGATGCTACTGGAGATATCATGAAGATCAATAAAAATGCCTATTGTCTGCCTCCCTCTGGGACTAATTTAAAGTAAGTATTTCTGTCTAATCTTTGTCAACTGATTTATCTCCTAATTATTTTCTCTATTTCTTTCGAAAACATTTTCCTACTCTAACAGGCTTCTGTGAACAGCTCCTCAGTACTCAGAGTTGGTTGAAAATAACTTCTGTAGAAGCTGTTGCCCATCAAATATATTTCTTTTTATTTAAATTGGAGTGATTTGCCATATTTCTACAAAATCTCTTCAGTGAAGATCAAAAATCTTGTTTATACATCATTTCATTTACACAGAAAGTTTCACTTTAGCACAGCTTACATATACCTGGGTATCTGGAGCAATACACGATGCATTTGCTACGAGTTCCCTCAGAATATTTCTCATCCAGGTTCAACCATTCCGAGAGCTGCAATTACTCCTCTGGAACAGCTTCATCCTGCTCGCTATCTTCTTGCTGTCCTCGCCATTTCCTAAGGGCATTTTGCAACAAGAGTTAAGGTGGCCACGGCCTGCTCCTTGCTGCCAGCCTGTTCATGGACTCTACAGCTCCTCCTAGCAGCAGGCGAGGGGTTTGTTGGAGAATGGAAAAAGGCTTCCAGGGAATGCGGCAGGAACAGCCACCAGTGATCCGGCTTGGTCCAAAGTCCCTCGGGGAAGGGGCAGTTTGGAGGAAAAGCCACGATTTACACACTCTGACAGCCGTGCTCTGCTCCGGGCTACCCTTTTGAGGGGTGAGACGGTGGCAGGTCCTGGTCCAGATGTTCTCCTGTCAGCGCAAAGGGCCCAGTCGTGCGACGAGAGCGGAGGGAAAGGTCACGGAGCGCTACGGCCATCTCCTCCGGGCCCACCTGCCTGGGAAGGCTGGGGCGCTGCACGGGCCACTGTGCTCAGAATGACACAGCTTACAACACTGCACTGTTGAGAGGTTTAAAACTGCTGGTACACAGACTCTTTTTCCTGAGTGTGTTTTAGGGATCAACTTCATTCCCATCAGAAAACACAGGATGGAAACTCCTCCATCCACCTGCACGTACCTGAAGCCCTCCCTCAGCCTCCCTGTCCCCTTCGGCTCACGCTAGCTCTGCTAGGCAGGTTCAAGTATTTTTTCAGTCTTACAAAGGCCCTTCCCGGTCTCCTCTGCTGCAGGAGGAGCTCGTGCAAGTTCCTGGAGCTCTACAGAGGCCGTCGCCTCCTCTTCCCCTCTCAGTCGTTCACCACATCTCTCCTTCAGAGGCAAACAGAACTTGTCAGCACTCGCGCATTTGGTGCACGGCAGGCTCATCCTGAGCAGATACAGCCCACCACAGGATAAAACCATAACCACTTGCTCAGGTACTGACACCTACTCCCACGTATCCATGGAACACAACTCCAAGTTGAAAACCTAGCACTTCATGGCTAGGTTTTGACATGGGGTCAACGGTAGCTCTACACTTTCCCACCGATTCTGAATCACCTGTTCACCTCCTAGCACCAGATGTGTTTCCCAAGGACCACATTATTGCCAGGCCCTTATGATACCACTATCCATCCACTGGGTTATTTTAGGATCTGCTTTACTGTACAGTTTTTTTCCCCCCTTTTATAATTTTAATAACAAATTTTTATTCAGTGACCCACGCGCCGGGTAAATACTAATACAGCAATGAAAGTTAACGAAGGGTAAAATACAGGAAATTAATTTCTCATCACATCATCAATTTATCTACCCACCTAAATGAGTTTAAAATACCAGCTTCAAGCAGTCTGATGTTCTGGGGACACTCAGCTGCCACTTCATTTATAGTCTGTTTCCCTAGCAACAATATAATCCATCTGGCTGCAGAAAGCTGAATTCCTAAACCATATCCTCCTGCATACCGGAAATAGGCTCAAAAACATTTATATTTTAAACAGTGTACAGTCACCACGATTAGTGAGCATACTAATGAATCTTAAAAGGCAATGACGTCCTTAAAGCAGACACACACACACAAATTCTTCATGCTCTGCTTTGACTAAGCGGTTTGCATACCGAAAACAGTCTTTAACTCCTAGGTATTTTAATAGCATCTCTTTCTTGCCTTTACAGTCCTAACCCTGCCTTTCCAGCAGGAGTCCCAGGTTCTGAGAGATCTTGCCTATCTTCTGACTCAAGTTTCAGAAATGAAAACGTTTCTCTCATCTTTCTTTGCCCCTGCTCAGCTGAGGGAGCCCTCAGAACTGCCCAAGATCTACTCATTCTCTTAAGATTTTTTCCTAGAGAAGCAATTTGAGATATTTGGGACACGATGCCGCTAAAGGCAAACAACAAAACAGCATACAAATTATTCACTCTAAGAGCAGTCATTTGTCTTAAAACACCCTCAGGCTTTTCTAGCTAGAACTATAAACATTACCCAAGCACATCAAAAAAATCCAGTCCTCAACAGCAGTGTTTAAACATGGTTAAGGGCCTACGGGGTGCCCCAAGCAAACACTTCTTACACTCACATAGAGCGTTTTGCTGTGTAATTGGTGACACCCATCGTGTCAGAGCAGCCCATGTGAAAGTCCCTGTATTAGAAAGTTGTATTAGAAATTGGGAATTCTGTTCAGCTTTGTCACGTCCCTTAGACGGCTCAATCCACAGCCTCATCCACGCTCCCAGAATGGATGCAATGAACCTTGTGCAGAGGCAGCTCATCCCCAGGGAGCGACTCAGCACAAGGGTCTATCACAGAATTCTTTATGAAGAAAGTTGTTACAGGCAGGCATCACAAAAGATTTCAATGGGAGATCAAAGGCATGGTCCAAAATTGCTTAATTCAGAGACTAGCAAACAAGTATGAAAAGGTTGGCACACCAAAGAGATACATGGCAGGGTATACCTTGAAGCACCACGGGCTTCATCACCAGCAATTCTGCAAGGCTATGTTAAGAAATTGCATGAATAACACCCAGCCATCTTCTAAGAAATTTAAAACAGCAGAATCCACCTCCCACATGCTTTTTTTTTTTTTTTCTGCAAGGGTTTGGCACCCTCAAGCAATCCAAAGGAGATGCAATTCTAAGCTAATGCACAAGCTAATCAGTTATGCCCATAGAAAGAAACTTCCCTTCCTCTATCTCATAAACACCCATCAACAGGGAACAGGTCCTTTACCCACAAAGACCTTTTGCCAGGAATGGGAACCACTCTGGTGACAAAGCTGTGCAGCTTTACCTGCATATCCTGCAAAGCAGCACGCAAGCCCATAGCAGCATTAGTAGATCCTGATTCCTCTCTGAAACAAGACAGCAGTACTACAGGTGAGACACCTTAGATGGGCTCTTCTCATGAGGAATCCTCCCGGCCTGGAAGAGATTTCTTATCAATACAAGCATGGTCCTACATGACTGTTGAATATAGTGAACATTTCCTAGATGTTATGGTGTTGATCAGTTACAAGAAATAAGGAATCCGAACTAGACAGAAGCAATAGTAATTCTTCACATCTTTTCTACCAGCTGACAGAAGGCAAGGCTCAAATTCACAAATATATATTTATTTATACATATATTCAAAAATTCCCGAGTGGCCATAAGTTCCCAAAATAGGCTCATGGCAGGGATTAGGACCCAGTCCTACTGCCGTCCACAGACTGAATGAGAAGTAAATTGAGAAGCCCTTCAGGCAATGTCTGACAACTTCAATATGCAGTTCCAACTTAAGATCTTAAGGTCTTAAGTTTAAGATCTTAACTTAAGATCTTAACTCTGCTTCCATATTAGCCTTTCCCATTTCATTCCTGCAACACCACTCGGGCTGAGATGGATCTTACCCAACTTCAGTACAACCCTGAGCTAAGCGGGGCAGCAGTCAGACAGGAACAAGCATTTCTGAAAAGCAAATGCATCTAAGCCATTTCAAATACCCGTTTTAATTATCTCTGCTTTTCAAGACTACCATATAAATGAACTCCATACCGTTGTAGCTGCCTGTTTCTAGTTCAGACGCTGCAGTAGCTCAGTCTGCTTTTATGTAACAGATGCGCAAGACGACGGAGCAGAAGCCTTTCAGCATCCTGCAGTTCCAGGCACCTCCAGGAACGGGGCCGTCGCCGGCCGACACGGGCCCGCAGCAGCAGTGAATCAGCAGCCCCTGCCCTGGGGTCAGGACGCCGTCATCCTCGCGGCGCTCTGCGACTTGCCAGGGCTCATGAGACGCCAGGGCAGAGCCGAGATCGCTCATCCTTCCCATCACTCTGGGAGCGGGAGACCGTGGGCCACCACCACAGCAAATTATCCTCCCTGAGCAATTTGTGATTCACTCATTGATATTAAGAAAGGAAGATTCTGGTCCTTTCTTCCAACAGATGCATGTCAAGGAACGGGGCTGGATGGTGGAAACTGTAGAGAGATCTGAGCAAATATATTGAGCTATATCCCACCTTGAGGATAAGGATATTAATATATTCTCTGATATATGCTGACATTATCAGAGCATACCATCATACTGACAGTCTGCTGATGAGCTGCTTTATCAGGCCTGCCATTTGCGGCGGCCTTGAAAACACTCATGTAATCTTGTTTCATTCAGATCAGGCAGTTTGGCAGCGTAAGTGCCGTTACCTCAGATTTCATGCTCTGATTTGGCGTTTGGAGAAAAGACGGATGCAGCCTGAACTTGCCTTCTTGTCCTATCCGAACACAGGGAAGGGGGAGGGAGAAGGCTCTTGGCTTCACTCAGTCCATCCCGAGCCTTGTAAGTGGTGCAAGGGAAGTTCCTCATGGCAGACACAGATTGCCTGATGCTGGTTATAAATATGCAGCACGTGTCTTTATGAGGCTGTACTGAATACTCCCAAATTCCTCTCAAATGTCACCTCCTTATCACAAACAATGCACTTGGAGACTGGGAAGACCTGCTGAAAATCCAGCAGCGAGAAGGATTTCACGAATTTCTTAGCTCTAACAACAAACTGAACTCTCCAAATCAGACATAAGGCATGAGTGGGAAGACCCATTGCTACTCAGCTGATTTGGCTCCCAAAATAAAGAGCAAGTTCCTCTCCAGCACACACCAACTTCTCCAGGGTGCACGATACAGGCACACAGGCTCTAGGGCACCAGCACTTCTGAGAGTGAAGCCCGTGCACAGTCCTGCAGGGTTACACAGCACCTTTTGGTTAGATCTTGTGCAGTTCGGGTTTGCACATTTTCACTTTACTTCTTTCATCTTGGTTGTAAGGAGAAGCATTATAAATGCAGACACAATTTCAAATAATTATCTGCATTTATGTATAGGCAAGGGCATGCACGTACGCTGAGTGATACAGGAAACAAAATATTATGAATACAGTATATATAGATATCTCTAAATACACCCACAAAAAGCATGTGAGACTCCAGAAAAAAAGTAGCGAGAGAAAACTTCAGAAGCGACAACTGACAGAAGTTGCTAAACCAAAATGATAAAGTAATAAAAAGCTTGTTGGAATAACTATTATCTACTACAGATAAGAATTTCATCAACATAAAATATGCGTTTTCAAATTACTTTTCAAGTCTTTGATGAAAAAATGGCTCTATTTTACGTTATTTACCATGCTTTCTTTACTATCATTATACACAATGAACCTTGCACAGTCCTTTGAAACGGATAATTTTGTGAATCACACTAGCGATAGAGAAAGCCTGCAGCAATAATCATTTCTAAGTAATATCAGGTTGTGAAGTTCTAACTACCTCTCAGAAAGGTAGGATTATGATTTTGCAAATTGTATTAGGAATATGCACTTTTTCTCCCCATTTGAACTCAAGGGGAAAGCTTGCAACAAAGCAACCCAAATTGAACACCAACTGTTGGCAAACATTTTCCTGTAAATCTGTGTCTACTATACTATTATTTTTAAAAATGGGAGACAAGTTTCACAAAATAGAGAGGTAATCAAGTTAATTTAATGCTCCTGAACAACTGAGACGTTACAGAGATGAGCATTGTCATAGGAAAAAAAAATCAGATTAAACTTAACATTTAAACATTCGGCATGGGTTGCAAATAGGCCTGTGACCACCGAAGGCATCGACTAATGAAAGAAACTGAAAGACTGCAGAGCTGTTCCCTAGGACTAACGTTGTCTAAGTCCAGCTGTCCCTTCAAGGTGGGCTGAGGCTAAATGAGCCACTGAGACTCTCTCCATAGCCAGCAGGCAGACACCGAGCAGGTAATTTGGCCACAGGTGGGAAAACCAACTTCCTGGACCAAATTATTTTTCCCATGGAATGTGCAAGAGGCTGAACAAGCAGCTGAGTTGCCTCAGTGTTACCACAAATTGCTTTAATACATCTTGGAAAAGCAGCCAGCATGCAAGTCTATGGTCAGAGGGTGCCCATTTGCTATGCAGGGACCCATACATCCAATGAAGTTTAAAAAACCCAGGACAAGGCGGGTGCTGGGGCTGGAGAGCAGCGCTCACCTCCTGGTCCATCCCCACACAGCCGTGCAGGTGTCCACAGGAGAGCACAATGCAGCTCCATGAGGGACAGCCAGGAGAAATTGCAAACAGCTCACCTGATTGAAAGGATGAGGCTAGCAAAATTATTATATTTATATATTATCATATTATATTAATATATCATAATTATACTATATTATTATTGTAATTCTTATTTTACCCACGTAGAAAAATCGGCCAACTCCAGCATGTTTTGGAGCAAGAACTGCATGACTGGCTGGAAGAGGATTTTTTTCTTCACACGTTTGGCACAAGTTTCCTGTATTCCTGACAGAGAGGGTATTTTTAAGTATCTGGAAACATTTTGTTCTCTTTTTTTGATGAGCATAACCGGATATTTCTTGGAGATGCAGCAAAGGGTGAGGAGCTACAGGCGCAAAGTGCAATATGGGAAATTCCAACTAGGTGTTGGGAAGAAGCATCATAGTGAGAGTGGTCAAACACAACAACAGAGAGGTTGCAGAATCTCCATCCTTGGAGATATTTATGAGACAACTGAGGCCACCTTTGTAATTCAAGTATAAAGCATCCTGTTCTCCTTCACCATCAACCCATTTAGGATCATCATCTGCTGTTACTAGCTCAGGTGGTTACAGCCTTAGCTGACCCCTAGAGCTCCTAGCCCTGCCGAGAACATAAAGAGCAATCACAAGGAGCTCAGCTAAAACGCTGCCTGCCTCCATTGCAGGAGCTTGGGGGCTCGAGAACAAAATACTGGGGAAATTACAGACCTCCAAAGCCATGTTAAAAAAAAAAAAAGAACCATTAAGTACTTGAAAGTCAATCTCAAGATCCGAGAAGTACCAGTTACGGAACCTTAATTAAATGCTCTTAAGTACTCTTTAATTACCTGAATAAATAGCATTTACTGACACAGAATGCAGCTTCCTTTAGAAGGGCCAGTGCTCGCCAAGATGAACGAGCGCTCAAGACCTTGTTTCAACACAATTCAATAACTGAGGAGGAAATCAAGAAACAGAGCCAACAATTACAACAGTCAACTAATTTTAGATGCCCTGTCCAAGATGCTCAGTATTCTGGAGAAAAAAAAAAAAAAAAGAAAAGAAAAACAAACAAACAAAAAACCCAAATCCTAGATAATATAAAGCATAATCCCCAACGGCTGCATCACCACTACTTCAAAGGTTTAGGTTTCCAAACATTTCTGCACTTAATGTGGTTTTATCTACTTTCTTTTCAGCACGGGCTGTGTATAATATACATCTAGATAGGCGTAAATTAAAGTCGAGCAAGAGCTTCCTCTAAGTGCCACTGAAGCCCTCTCATACTCTTTTATGTGCAAATGTAAATTCTTTCCTGATTCACTGCTTTTACAGAAAGGATGGCTCAACTTGCTCCTAAAGTGCCCGCTGCCGCGTTCCAACATTAAGATTTGTACTTTACAAGGTTTCAGTCAAGATTTCATTCAAATAAAGCTGAACAGAACTTTGCCAAGACCTCAGCTCATACTGCCTGTTTGGGAAAGCACTTCCAAGCACTTAGCCCTTCTCATCATATAGCTATGGTCTAGCTAAGTACTTAAGCATAATCCTCAACTGAAAATGAGCTAACTAACAATTTTTCTACTTTAGTTCCAGTTACACTACTAGCAATACAATAATGGCTACAATAATGGCTGCCAGCAAATACGGGGAAAAACTGCTACTCTATTAAAGTACTTTTCATGTCTGCGAGAGGCAGTGTGACCTGACAGACCAATTTTCTGCCTAAGACTCTGCTTCTGAATCCTACCAGTGGGATCTCTTGGATAAATAGTTACACATCCTCCTGCCTCGGTTTCCTCATTTGTAGCAATTAAAACAACTCGCATCCTTTAGAATTGCCTCAAAATGTATTTCTAAGAACTATATGAGATGACCTAGATGCACGGATATACATAAAGCAAGCAAAGCATAAAATATCTACAGATGCACTGTTTTGTTAATGGACCTAAACGTGAAATATTCCAAAAATGTGAAACAAAACATATATTTACAGGATTGTATCAAGTACATGGGCTTTGCTTACAATTACAGTGGGAAAGAAAACCCAAAAACTAAAACACAAAACAACAACAACAAACCCTCAGCTAACATGGCCAGAGTCCAGGACCATTTGTTTTAAATATCTAATAACTGCAATTGTCTAGTGACCTCTCCAGACATCTGGAGGTAAATATGTATTTTTTTAATTCTCAGAAGTATTTGCCCAACTTCCAGCAAAATAACCAGCAAGTGGCACTAGAGCAGAGGCCGCTGGCGTCGCTCTCCCCGAGCAGGAGCTCGCCAGGCACTGAGGCTGCTCAGGGACACGGGCGGCTCTGGAAACACGTTCCCAGAGGAGCCCAAGTTGTGTAAGACTTTCCCTGACACCCCTCACTCCCCCTCCCTCATGGAACAGCAGGAAAGGCACCAAACCTTCCCCTGCTCGCCCAGGAGCCCCAGGTGCAGCCCGAGCAGGCTGCCCTGTCCTGGAGGGCAGGAGGGTTTAACAGCACTGACCATGGCTAGGCCCCGGGCAAGCAGCGCCAGGGAACAGGCTCAGGCAC